TGTTTATAGTTTTATGCATGCATAGATAGATTTCCAGACCAGCAGGAGAAAATTGATATTCTCTTATTTTTCCTTCTTTCTTTTTATTTCTTTCTCTTCTTCCCTTTGTATTCTGTCCATTTCCTACTATGCAGCCTCCTGAGTACTGCTGTTGATCACAGGCACACATCTCCATGCCAAATTGGCTTCTAGCCTCCTCCTGAGCTCTTAGACTATGGGAATGTACCGTCACACGTGTTCTTTCTTCATGTTTTTTTTTTCTTTTTTTCTTTTTTAGTATGGTTTCATGTGGGCTAGGATGGGCTTGAACTTATGTGGCAGAGGATTCTTCTACCTCATCTTCCTGAGTGCTGGCATTACAGGAGTGCGCCACTCCCTGCAGACCAGACTTAGGGACTTGTGGATGCTAGGTGAACACTTTATTCTGAGCTACATCTCAGCCCCTGAGAACTTCTTGTTGCCCATGTCGTTCTTTTGCTTTCCCATGTTAAACTGCTGACTCGTCTGCTTGTTCTGATTGCTGTTGTAAACTTGAGTTAGTCTTGCTATTGGCCTTACCCGAATTCTTGACTCTAGAGTCAGTGTTGTTTATTACCATCCCCAAGTACGGGATTCACTACATTCTTCTCCACACAGACTCGGTTTCCTCAGCAGTGCAACTGCAGCTTTCAGAGTGTGTCTCTTTAGTAGGAGTTCTGCTCCCCAAGAATTAGGAGTAGCTATGGGTAGTAAGAGCCTCCATCTGAAGCACCACATACCAAACACAGGAACAGGAGATCTTCAGGAACCAGCTCTCCAGTTTGACATGTGTTTTTAGTCAGTATTTAGATCTTTATATTATTTCAATAGTTTTGTACAGTTTTATTGTTTTTGTTCTGGGGGATAGTATTTGCCAGACTCCTTCTCTCACCATCTTGGTTCATTCTTTTTTCCTACCTCCCTTTTCCCTCCCCCATCTCTTTCCTTCTCATTTTAAACATACTTGATTCAAACTGAATTTTTCAGCATATACTGTGGAATAGAAGCCATTGGCTTTCTTAAGATGATGTTAAGTAACTTAACGCTGCTTGTTGATTAACCTATGTGTTTGTCACAGATTAGTAATAGATTTTTTTTTTGCTTTTAGTGAGATCTGTTTTACTCTCTCTCCTTTCCCAACTTTATTATTGCATTAATTTACTCTTTTCTTTTTCTTTTTTCTTTTTACTTTTTTCAGGTCTTGCTTCTTGTCAGTTTCAGCCCTAGTTCAGCTTGTCATTAAACAAGTCTCTTTGGCTTTGCTCCTTTCTTCCCTTTGTTGCACAGTCTCAGGAACTCATCGTCCTTGCTGCTCCTGAAGGATGAAGCTAGACTAATAAGAGTGAGAAAGGACAGTAATTCCGGCATTTTCAGGTTCTTCAAGTGTGTCTCACTGTATTTTGTGGGACCTTGCTTTTTCAAGTTTTGGTCCTAGGTTTGCTTCTTCTCATGTCCCATATTTCCTACCAGTATGTGTTTGTAAAAGTTTGTATTCTATCCCAGTTGGCTATATTTAATTCAGAGTTTTGAGCTTCTGCTGTGCTTGTGTGTGTTGTGCCAGGTTTAGAGTTCAGAGAGTCTCAAGATATCACTTGATGTGCTCATGGGCTATTTTCAGATTTACTTTCTCAAGTGTAGTGTCTTTTCCCATCCCTTGTCATGCCTGCCGTTTGGTAGTTACCATGTTGGTCCTGCCTGTTCATTCCAGCCCTAGCCCAACTCTTTATAGACTGGCCATGTTCATGGTGGGGTCCCCTTTCTAGGTGTTGCTGGGCATTGTATTATTGTTTATCATTCTGGAAATTACCATGTTCCTTTAGTTTGTCAGCACAATATTGAGGGTCTCTCCAGGGTTCATGAGCCCTCACAATGCTACAAGAAAGGTAAAGTTGTCTGTTTAGATATCTTTTTCTTAGCTGTGTATTTAGTTTTTTTTTTCTGTAACCCGCCCAGCGGGTCAGTTATTCCAGGGTTGTAACCCGCCTGGCGGGTAAGTTATTCCAGGGTCCTGAAGAGGCGCTATCTGAAAAGACATGGGCGGGAAAGAGGAACGAGGCCAAGCAGAGTTCTTGTCAAGGCCTCCGTTTATTAGTGTAATGGCAGCAGCTTATATAGCCCTTGGATGAGGAATTTGGCTTGGGATGGGGGCAGGGGCATGGCAAGGGCAGGAAGGTTATAGATTTCTGGCTTATTCTTGCAGTTTTGTTGCCTTAGTTCTGAATTCTCTTCCTGCTCTTTGCTGACTTTTTAAAAATGTGGTTTCTCTGAATGATCCTGCTCCACTTGCTGTTCTTCCTGTTTGTTCATGGAAACACACACATCTGTTTATGTACGGAATGAGGCTGCTCAGGCCTGCCTTCTAGGCACTGCAGGAGCCACTGGGATGCAGTGATGAACCCAACCAAACATATTTGTTCTTCACAGGTAGAAATTACAGAAATCTGGTGTCTGTAGTGAAGTACAGATGCTGCTGATTTGGGGATATTTGTATTGATCTCCGTATCCCACTTCCTTTAACTGGCAGTATATCTGCTTAATTCTGAATTCCTCATTGTGTCAGGATTGATATATATAGGAGCTGGACTTAGTGGTCTATTGCTGTGAAGAGATACCATGACTACAGCGACTTATATAATATAAAGCATTTAAATAGGGGCTTACTTACAATTTCACAGGTTTAGTCTGTTGTTATCATGGCAGGGAGCATGGTGTTGCAAGGGCATGTGCTGGAGCTACAGTAGGCAGAGAAAGAGAGAGATAGTTGGCCTGGCATGACCTTTTGAAACCTCAACCCACCTCCAGTGACACACTTTATCCAGTAAGGCCACACCTATTAATCCTTCTAATTCATCAAAGAGTTCTACTCCCTGGTAACAAAGTATTCAAATATGTGAACCTATGGGGCCATTCTTATTCACATCATCACAGAGCCCTTCTCAGTTCTGTCTCTTGGTTTTTTGATTAACAATTTGCACCAGCCTCTTGTCCAACCTGAAACAGCTGTTGTGCTCATACTCTCTATTCGGAACAAATTCTGATCACAAATTTTTCTTTGGAAAGTTTTCTCATTAGCTGACTCTGTTAGTTTTTTTTTTCTGTGTCTTTATTTTTATGTTTTTGTTGTTTGTTTTGTTGTTGTTATTGTTATATTTTCTACTTCTTCCTCTTTGCGTTTGTAACACTGCTCTAACGGATTTGTCAGGAGTGCTCAGTCCCTGCCCAGGGCTGCAGGGCCTGTATTTCTGCTTCATGGGAAGGTAAAGGTTACTTGGTTGTCCCTCATCTTACTCCCCTCTCTGCTGCAGTGGAACCTTGTTATCCATTCTTGAGCATGTTGGGTTGCCATCTTTATATAATAGCTAGGAAATGTCTCTCTATAGATTATGTTCCACCTTCCTAGTATTTGTTGAATTATTCCACATGGACATGTAGTACCCCAAATAGAAGTCATCATATTTTCTAATACTAGACTAGCCCTAACTCCCAGTCTCATGATTAGGAACCTACTCAGTTTCCATTCTGGTTGTGCTTCAGGTCCTCCTGGTTGCCAGGTGAGTTAGACAGAACAATGGAGGACCGTGTCAGAGGCCTCTGTTGTCAGTGTCCACTAGGATTACTGCAGTACTAGCCCTTCATGTTGTCCTGCCTCATCTGTTTCTCCATGGGATGCAGGTGCTTGTCTCTGTTCCATTCAGTTCTGCCTTCTGTGCCAAGATGGCTTTTCCTAAAACAACTTCGGTCTATTGTTCTCTCTTGCTCATTCAAGCTTCAGAAACTCCCTAGTGCCTTTGAAAAACCCGGCTTGTTTTCTAGACCTTCCAACTTGTTTTAATTTCCTTGCTACTGCCTTCTTCCATATAGGCAGGACTCTAGCCAAATGGAATTAATGTTGCAAGAATCTGCCTGTGGTTTTCTGTTTGCCTTCTGATTTTTGTTTCCCTTTGCCAGAAGTATGCTTTCCTCACATCTTAATGTCTTAGTTCTTTCTTAAAAAATTTCCCAGAGTTCTCCACACAGTTATCTATATTTTGGAAATCATGGTGCTAATATACTTCTCTATGTATATTGCTATGCCCATGTGACTTTTTAACCCTGATGACCTTTTATCTTTGATTTTGCTAACTATTGTGTATCACACACATTTGTGTAATCAATGAGAGAATGAGTGCATTTGTGCACACCCCCCCCACAGCCTAGACTCTAATTGTTCTTTTTTTATTCCCTTTTTGTTTCTATGAGGACATCTCTTTTGTTTCTTCCTTGTATTTGGGTTAACTTTATTTTTCAATCACTTCACGCAGTCCTAAGTGGCCTGTTACCTTTATCTTTGTTGCTTTCTCTTCTCTGAGTTAATAACAGTTTTAGTCTAAAGAAAACTTTGGTCATTTGATAAGGGTTGTATGAGGGAAATTTGAGGAATAGAAGACATTGTTCGAAAATGATTTCTTGGTCTATTTTGTGGAGAAGTGGTTGCCTAGCAGGGCTTGGTAGTTTGCAAATATGGATTTAACTCCAGGACTGGTGGCCAGCTGGTAGAGATGAAAAAGTAGAAGTTGTGGTAGAGTGTTCATTATTCAGGTGGTGACCAAGGTTCAGCAGCAGAGTCACATATTCTTAGGTTTTCAACCAATGCCTATTCTATTGCAGCTCTTAGATTCCAGATCTTTTTTAAAATCATTGTTAAACCCATTTCCTCTTGTGTGTGCATCTCACAAGCCAAATAGAGTTGCCTACTTTCTTATTGTCTACTTCATTGCCCCCTTACTGGAAACTCCTTAGATGAAGTGCTCAAAGGGCAGTGTAGTGTACCTGCAAGGGTGAAGACCTCGGCTAGAAACGCAGCACAGATGGTATGTGACACCCGGCCCAGGAGAGTACCACATGGTCTTTGCCACCTAAGTGCCCCTCAGTACTACATTTCCAAGGGGCCAAAGGAAACCACAGCTCAATGCTCTCCAATCACCAGTTTCTTTTTATTTTAGCTCTTGACAACTGAGCTGCTCAAGGAGGGAAGAATTCTGAGCTGAATAGTAGTGGGTTCCTGGATCTGGAAAGAAGAGGCCACCTTGGAACCAGTAATGAACCATCCTGACTACAAGCTGAACCTTCGGCCCCCTGGGACCCCCAGAGGTATCAGAAAGAGAACGGAGCTTGCCTTGGCAACTGGAGACTTGAAATATAAATGGACTGGGTGTGGAGGTGGAGGGAATTCTTTCTACTGAGGGAGACTAATTCTTTTTTTTTTTTTTTTTTGAGACTAATTCTTTTAATGAACTGTTAAATATTCTCTGGTGTTATTTATTCTAGAACTAGGTATGCTCTTATTGTTTCAGTTGGTTGTTGTACAGTCATTTTATTCCCTCCAGAAATGGGACAGCCTTTTAACACTTCCTATTTTTAAAGGTTTTGTATCTACAAATAGCAAAGCATACCAGACCTGTTATTTAGATTTTGCTTCCTGCACAGAGCAATGCTCACTTAGACTAAGATCTTATTTATTTAATAAGATCTGTTTTGTTTTGTTTTTGTTTTTGTTTTTTGGCTTTTCAAGACAGGGTTTTCTGTAGCTTTGGAGCCTGTCCTGGAACCAGCTCTTGTAGATCAGGCTGGCCTTGAACCCACAGAGATCCGCCTACCTCTGCCCCTTGAGTGCTGGGTTTAAAGTCATGTGCCACCACCTGGCTAAGGTCTGTTTTATTTATGCTGTTTTACCCATTCTTCTCTTTTGTGACTGTGTGAAATCATCACTGGAAAGGCTCATTCTCTGGTGGCCTTCATAGATAACAGGAGCAACAACAAAAGTACTGAAGACGCAGTATCTTAAAAGAAAATAGAAAAATAGAGTTAAAAGAAAAATAGAGGTGTTTAACTGAGGAAACGGTTGATTGTTGCTTCATGTTTCTAGGTGTGTCCTCTGTGGTTGGCCCGCATGCTGCTGGTGCTTCGCCAGGTGACAAAAAGTCAAAGAACAAGTCCATGCGAGGGAAGAAAAAGAGCATATTCGAGCCCTACATGTCCAAGGAGGATGTTTCAGAAGGCTTGAAGAGGGGAACACTTATCCAGGTGCTTAAAACCTGCAGGTTATTTACCCCTGAATATATAGAATGAAAGCAGTCTTGTTTATTAATCTTTTCCCTGTCCTAAGTTGTGTGCTTTGACATAGTGCAGGTTTTTGCTTCTTAGACCTATATAGCATGTGTTGAGGTGGAAAGTACCACTAGACTCTTGTAGGCAAACTTCGAGATGTGAGAAGAGAGAACCTTTGTAGCTTGTGTCAGTGTTGCTTAGGAATTTCATATTGTGAGAGATCTATGTGAGCCAGGTTGGGGATTGATGCAGTTGAGCAAATAAATATAAGAAAATGAGCTTTCCAAATGAAATAACCTATGTAAACTGCTCAGACAGGAATGGGAAGTGGGGTTGGACTATACCAAACATTGGATTGTTCAGTGTGCCTGAAGCAAAAGAATACTGAATGACTGAGAAAAGTGGGTAAAGTCGTAGAGGAGACAGGAAACAGTATGTACTGAATGCTTCGTAGTTTGCATAATCTGTTCACAGGCTGTTCACTGGTATGGCTGAACAGATGTTCATTGAGCATCCATCTTTGAGCCAGTAATACTTCTTGTTAGGAGAGTACTACAGAGGAACTTGTGAAACAGTGTGGGATAAGACAGCTTAGGTTTCCTTGGGTATGATATCCAAGGCAGCTAGTAGGTAACAAGGCTGGAGAAGGAAACAGGGCCATGCCTTCTTTGAATTAGGCATGTTTTATAATTCTTGAATAGATATACTATCACGTGGTAACTGACTCATGTAAAATTATTGAACGAAGGCTGGGGAGATGGCTATCAATAAAGTGCTTACCACACAAGCATGAGGATCTGAGTTTGATCCCTAGCATTCACATAAAAGCTGGGAGCAAGCTGGGCGGTGGTGGCGCACGCCTTTAATCCCAGCACTTGGGAGGCAGAGGCAGGCGGATCTCTGTGAGTTCGAGACCAGCCTGGTCTACAAGAGCTAGTTCCAGGACAGGCTCCAAAACTACAGAGAAACCCTGTCACGAAAAACCAAAAAAAAAAAAAAAAAAAAAAAGCTGGGAGCAGTGGTGGGCACTTATAATCTGAGGACAGAGGAGGCAGAGACAGAATAATTTCTGAGACTATATATATATATATATATATATACACACACACACACACACACACACTAACTGAATAAAGATCAAGACACTACCTTTTGAAGAAGAGTAAAGAGAACTTCAGTTGTTAGAACTTGAGAGAAAAATAGCTTAGGATTTTGATTATAGATGTACACTTTTATGAAATAGGGTTATAACAGTCTTCTGTAATAGTATTAGTTTTTGCTTCCTTTTAATTTTTGCATTTGAAGTGACTTTTTGCTCTCATTAACACAAAATAAAAGATCTGATCAATATAATAGCTCATATTCCCAGGAGTTTGTAAGTGATCCCTCCTGGCCTATGACATCATAAGCTTCCACAGCCAGAGGCCCTCTCTGCCTTCACCCCCCACACATGAGAACAGTTGTTCTTTGCAGATGGGGTAAGGAATGGGTTCCAGATATGAGGTCACCATGAGAAATATACAACATTGTAAATAAGATTTTCATAGGCAGAGAAACAGACTACATCTGCTTTTGTATATAAACTTTTTGTGTGTAGTTGTCTGAGTAAGGTAAAAAGCTAGACAAGAAGTGATATTTTAATGCCATTGGAGAAAATTAAGTATTTCAGATATATTTAGAAACATCTGTCAACTTTTGTATGTCAGGGCTTCCTTTTCCCCATCAAGAGAAAAGTCTTTTATTGATAGTTAGGGATCTTAAAAATTAGTAGAATAAAGCGTGGTGGCAGTGGCACATGCTTTTAATCCCAGCACTTGGGAGGCAGAGACGGGCAGATCTTTGTGAGTTTGAGGCCAGCCTGGTCTACGGAGCAAGCTCCAAGACAGGCTCCAAAACTACAGAGACCCTGCTTTGAAAAAAAAAATTATAGAATAATATAGTGTTAGTTAATGCCATGATAAACAATTGAGATTTCCTTGTTTTGTAGGAAAGGTCACCACAGTGATCAAAGAAACTTATTTTTGTATTTGGAAATGAATAACAATAAAACATGATTCTGTAATGTAGTTTTCTTAATAAAGAGGTTCCCACATCAGTGTATCATTACTCTGTGCATAGGTACAGTATTGGTTGGTTGTTATGGGAGACACTGTGAGAGATGAGAGCATGATTGACATGTCTGGAAGGAGGAGCAGTTTAAGGGTGTAACCAAAGTGACCATGGGCAGGGAGATGGTAGAATTGGGTCTTTCAGAATTTAGGCGATGCATTGACTAGTGGAAGTCCAGAATGAGCTCCCAGAGCTACTGGAGGCATGATGTCAGGATTCTTTCTAGAATAGAATATTGGTGAGATGTTGTGGTGGACCACTGAAAAACCCTATTCAAGAAAGACAGAGGACATAATGTTCTCATTTCTAGGAATTTCACACTTTTTTAAGATTGAGGTTAGGAGGCTAGAGAGTTGGCTTATAGGTTTAGGAGCACTGGTTTCTCTTCCAAAGGACCCAGGTTCAATTCCAGCACTAATATAGTGACTCACAACAGTCTAATTCCACACTCAGAGGATCTGCCCTCTTTTGGCTTCTGAAGACTTGACATGCACATGGTGCACAGAAATACAGTCAAAATTTTCACACATATAAAGGGAAAGAAGATTGAGGCTGCTTGGGTGTGTATTAAAGAAGAGAACAGTAGCGGTGACATTGTGAGGGAAGGAACACCTAAGAAGAGAGGTGGCATTCAGAGCTATAATGCCAGAGACAAAGGGAGAATTTCAACTTTGCAGACATTAGGTAATTAATGAAATTGAGAACCATTTCTTGATAGCCTAGGGATTGTCAAGCATTTGGGAATGAGCACTAGAAAAGTCACTAGAGAGGTAGGCAAAAATAACTGTAGTAATAACAGAAATGATGGGGCTGGATCATTGCTCAGAGAGAAAGATGAGAGAGAATAGATAGAAGCCATTGCACATAGTGTGGCTAGGGAAGGCTTCTTAACCCATAGGTGAGACCTGAAGGGCAAGAATGAGCCAGCCATTTTCAGCCTTCAGAAAATATTATAGGTAGAGAGATCAGCGAGTGAAAGAACGGCAAGTAAAAGACTTGATGTTTTTGGTGATCAAGAAAGGAGCAGCCTTTTGAGACATATGGGAGCAAAGGGAGAGTTAGGCAGCAGCCAACTCATTTAGGGTCTGAGACTGTGTTAGGAACTTGGATTTCATTCAAAGAACAATGGGAAGTCACTACAGGGTATTGAGTAGGAAGAACACAGTCTGTTTCATGTCTTAAAAATGTCTCTGTTGTGAGATGAATAGACTTGAATAGAAGCTGGGAGTTCACTGAGAAAGCCATTGAAATCCACTAGATAAGAAAATATGGAGACATGAAAAGAGAGAACAGGGTGGTGGCAGCTAGGAGAGAAGTGGGTGACTGGAGCTGGAGCTGACAGAGCATACTGATGATTAGATGTTCGCAGGAAGGCAGAGCAGGAAATCCAGGAGGATTCCGAAGCACCTGAGTGCCTGATCTTGCTGCTAGTCAGCTAAGGAAGTCAGAATTGGAAATGTGCTGCTTTTGGGGATGTGTAAATGTGTGATGAGGCCCTGGTGATGACTGTAGCCAAGAGGTGGTTACCTCCTCAGTGCCTCAGTCACCTCATCTGTAATAAATGAAGTAAGTAGTATCTGTGTCATAGCTGTGGGACTTAAATTAGTTCATAACTAATTTAACTTAATTGAATTTAAATTAGCTAATTTAAATTAGTTCATTAGCTCTTAAAAGTACATGACCAATATTCTACCCATGTAAGTAGTATTTGAGGTTGTAATTACTGTCATAGGAACATCTGTAATTTAACTGAGGTGTTTGCTGTCCTGTGTTTGAGTATGTACGTCTTAGGATTATTTTTCAAGAAAATCTGTGAACATATTTTTTATGTGTGAAATTCCTTAGTTTTAAGTGTTTCAGGCACGCTGTAAGCCAGCTAAATATATCTGTGACTGCCAAGTAAGACTAATTAGACCATTGTGTGTTATTTTTCTGTAGTGCTGTTTTGGTCCTTTGGTATAGGTAAGGAGAAGACAAATAGTTGGAGTCACTTGAGAGGTAGGCCTTATTGATTGTGTATAAGAGGAAATGGGGACCCAAGGTTTGTGAAGCTAAGGGATAATGGCAAGGAATAATAGCAGGTAAAGACTACTAGTTGGTCGGGCAGTGGTGGCACATGTCTTTAATCCCAGCACTTGGGAGGCAGAGGCAGGCAAATCTCTGTGAGTTCTAGTTCTAGTTCCAGGACAGCCAGAGCCAGAGCTATTATACAGAGAAACCCTGTCTTGATAAACCAAAAATAAATAAATAAATAAATAAATAAATAGCTACTAGTTAGTTGGCCAAGGAGGGGAGTAACCATAGTAGGCTAGTGGAGGTCTTGGCGATACTGACCTATTATTTGGAATTCTTATGGTAAGTGAGTATATATGGTAAGTATAGAAGACTGCAGTTAGAAAGGATGATATTAGATGATACTAGCTTCTTGTGTTTGAAGTAATTTGATAGTAGGGTATAGTCAGTGGAAATGGTAGCTGGATGGATGGAGACAAAGGTACCTTGAGTGATTTGGTTATTGATGTGGATTTGAAGCTCCTAAATGTTTATAGGGATTGGGATAGAAGGGAAGACAGTGACATTTGAGTCAAAAGATTAATGAATTAGTGCTACAATCAGGAAGTGAGAAGGAGAAGGTAGCTGTACCAAGTCTATGGCGTGAACTTCAAAAGGGTTTTTGAGAAGGAATATAGGAACAAACTAATTTTAAATCCAAATTATGTGAAAACAGTCCTCACCATCTTTGAGATGTTCTCTTTGTCAGCACCCAAAGGAACCAATGACATCAGGGCAGAGCCAGGATCTGAACAGGTGAGAAGTTGCAGTAAGATTCAGAACAGGATGGGAAGTACATGATCCTCCTTATAGGTCAAGATCCAGGCTAGGAAAAGTTTAAAAAGAGGAAAGATAGGGAATTATGGAAAGACAGAATTGCTGGCTTCAGCCTCCTGGGTGAGACGTCCTCTGCTGGATGACTCTTTGACCTGGTGGACTATTTCTTGACAGACTTTACTCTTACCTTTTTCTTTCAGGCTGTAGGGAACAACTCTGGTCTGCTGAGGACCTGGTTGGAGTTGCCTGTTTCTATGTGTGATCTGTTCTCTCTGGGATCTGTTCTTGACATCCGGTTCTTAAGCCAAATTTCTAAATGTCGATCTAACACAAGGTGTCTACCCTCCCCTCTATGCTTTCATCTTTTGGGAGGTTTGGGATAGAGAATCAATCAAGAGCTTTCTGGTGCTTTTAATATGTTTTCTTTTAAGTAGAGCCTAAATGCAGACCTGAACAACGTGTGTCTCTCCCATGAGCCCAGCCTTGGCTTCTCTTAGTGTTCTACAATTAAAGGCATACTCAAACCAAGAGCTTAACCCTTCACTGAACTGAAAGGGAGATGATAGATGAATAGGAGTTAAAAAAATGGTTAGAAAAGGGTGTCTAGAATCAGAAAAGGAAATGCTTAAAAATCCTATTTTAGTTCATTGCAGCCTTCCCCTAAGATTGTCTATTTCTCCCTTTTGTAGTCTCATCATCGTACATAGCGCCTGCTAAGCTGTTGTCAGGAAATATTTGTTGAGTGTATGAGTACTTAGAAAAAACTGTAGGAATTTTTCCTTTTCCTTCATGAAGAAACAATTCTTTAGAAGTGAATTTGCTTCAGCACTTTAAACAAGAAAGACTGGGATAGCCTGTCAGCCATAACTCCTGGCCCCTTGTTCTGTAACTCTAAGCAGAGTTCTGGCAGGATGTGGAAGAGTGAGCGTTGGACCTCTTGCCTACTCTTGCTAACACTACACCCCTACTGCCCTTCCCTCTGGCTCACCTTCACCGTTTGCTCTTGCATTAGGACTCAAGAGCATCTCCTGAGCCTTTCGTGGTGCCCTGGCTGAAAGTATGCTGCAGCTGTAACTTCACAGCACTCCACGCATTCTCTTTCTCAGGGGTCAAGCTTAGTTCTTATTCAGCACTCGATGTGGTCTGTTTCAAGTTTTGACTATAATCACTGTTTGACAAATCTTTAAGGACTGAGTTTTCATTTGTGATAGTCTGATTTGTATGTTAGCATGTGTACCATGGCCTGGAAATTTGTAATTTAAACACCAGTGAAAGAAAGAAATTATTTTCCATTTAATTTTATACCTTCACCTATCTTGTGAACTATGTGCCTTTGAGTCATTCACTTTAGTGGGAAATGCTATTTAAACACTTTCTTAAGTTGTCCTTTGAGTCGTGTTAGGAAAACAGCTTCTTCCCTCTACATGTCCCAGTGGCCTGTGAGTGCAGCTGGAATCTGGCGAGGTTATGGCTTCCTGAAAAGACCCACAGCACTGAGCTGCTGTTGAGGACTGTCCCCAGCTGCACCCCAGTACATAAATAAAAGTGGACCTTGACTTGGTGCTGGAATCATAGGAAGTTGAAGGCAGACTGGGTGGCCTAGCTGTGGGAGCTAGCTAGCATTGCCATTCGCATTAAGAGCTGGTTCTGAACTATTTTGAATTATTAACTTGTTCTGTTCTGCATCATAGTAAAACATGCACATCCATTTCCTTGAGGCCAAGTATCTAGTTAGAAACCAAGTTGAAAAATAGCTCCAGAAACATCCATTGTGCAGAGGTCATGGAACTGAGAGAGCAAAAGGACGGCTAATGTGAGACATGATCTCCACAAAGCCTTATTAAAGTTAATGTTAATGTGAAGATCAGTACTTGTCATTTCCTGGTCTGTGCCAAGTGCTGCTGTTTCTTCCCTTTGCCCATCACAGCAAGGTGTCAGTTTGAGCTTTCAGTGTTTGAACCTGGTGTCTCACACACCAACCTCAATCAGTTTTCATGCATTTAACCCATAGTTCTCATGTATCTAACTTGTTTTCTGAATCAGACTGTTTAAGAACTTTCTATCAGAGAGCAGCATATATAGGAAAAATCATAAATATCCAGCAAATTAGATTTTCACAGATTTTTTTGTTTCATTTTAAAGGGTGTATTGAGAATCAATCCAAAGAAGTTTCATGAAGCCTTCATTCCTTCTCCGGTAAGTTTATTAACTTTATAATAAACTTAATGTCATATTGAATATTTTAGATATTCTCTGAACTTGAAATCATACACTTTAACTAAAAAGCAGAATAGTAAAACTAAATTGAGAATAGGCAAAGATTTGCTTCAAATTTAAATAAATAAAATTTGTCTTTGGTTCACTACCCCTTCTGCCAGTCTTAAAATTGAATGCCAAATGAGAGGGATGGTATTTGTTCTGAGACTGCAGAAAGCAGCTGGACCCAGGCAGGCTACCCGCCAGTTCATGTAATTGGATGCTCTTGGTTTATAGCTTAAAAGGATTTATAGTTTTTTCCACTGATTTAAGGTAATCTTTCCTAAACAAATATGCTATCTACTTTCGTTCTACTGCACGAGCTAATCTGAACATTTGTCCAAAAATAATGTGTAATTTTTTTTGTCAGTTTTTCACTTCACTTTCATACAGGTGATAGACCTTCAGACAAGGCTCTTTACTTTTTGGGTTTTAGGCTGTTTCTTATATTCATGACTCATCCTCAAAGCTTCTTTCCAGTTAAAGTGTCTTCACACTGATAGTGGTTAGCAGCAGGTCTATGCAGAAGGAGCCTTGATTGTGCAAAGCTGGAAGGGCAATATTCTTGAGTTCCTGGCCTGACTTTTCCTGGATAACTATATATATATTTACAGTGGAAGAGACCATAGGGATGAACTTATAGAAGAGAAATACAACACAAATATTTCAGTTAACTTATTTTGTTTACTAAATGGAAAGTTTAATTATTATCATGTTCTTCATAGGTGATTCTGTTATTAGTGCTGTTGTTATTATTACAGTGACCTTATTATCTGTTCTTAAGTTCTGCTCTGTTTCTCTTCTCTTTCTCACCAAATATCAAGGAAACATATTTACTTCCAAGTAGAAGGTTTGCTGTTGCACTAGGAAAAGGTTCTCTGACATTTCACATTCTCTCTTCCTTGGACAAAACCTATCTACATTCTGACTTGTACCTGAATAGTGAGAACTTTGTGGTGTATTTCATGCAGCAGAGTATGTAGAGTGTGGTTTACATGGGTACTAGATTCTAGAGTTTGCTCATACAGTGACCATGTATAAGAAGGTGCCATGTTAAGAGTCAAGGCTAGCCACCTCTCAATAGGTTCTGTAAAACTAACGTTTCTCACATTAGAAAGGATGATTGTTGTTGTAGCATTCCATACAGGTGGAGGAGTTTGATTAATTCAGGATTTCTTATATATGAAAAAATAGTGATTTTTAAACATGGAAAGCTCACTTAATGGAGTAAGGAATTCATTCCATAAGGTATCTATGAACTGAGCAGAGTTCAAACCTCTCATCTGCTCTGTGTGTTGTATGTTCACTTCACTGGCTGGAATGATAAGGAGGACTGTAGCATTTTGAAAATTTTATTACTAGCTTTTTTTCCTTCTAAGTACCCAGTCTTGAGTTCCTCTGTGTTAGATCCCTGTTAGGGCGCCACTTAACAAATGTGAAGACTAGGACTAAGGGACAGAGAGACACATGTTTCAGATATTAAAAAGTCATGAATTAGGAGCAGGAGAGATAGCTTAGGAGTTAAGAGCCTGTGCTCCTCTTACAGAGGACCCAAGTTCAGTTCCTATTGACCATATCACAACCACCTGTAATTCCAACTCCAGGAAATCTTATGCTTTGTGAACACTATAATTAGATGCACATAGCACCATGTTCTATACTTAATTTAAAAATAATAAATATAAATATTTCTATATGAATCTGTAAATCAATCTAACAATCCATTAAGCAAAAATATATTTCATGGGCCAAAGAGATTTCTCAGTGGTCAAGAGCACTTGCTGCTCTTCCAGAGGGTAAAAGTTTGTATCCAGCACCCATGCCAGGTACCCTATAAGCCCTGTATCTTCAGCTCCAGGGAACTGGACTCCTTTTTCTGACCTTGGTGGATACCTGCATGCATGTGCATGAATACCTTAACATATACGTGAATAAAAATCATCTTAGAAATATATTTTATAACAAATATGACTCTATATACCCATGTTTATTTGTGTGTGTAGCTCGTATCTGTTTGAGCTTCGAGCTGACTGAAATAGTGATCTCCTGTGTTCTGTCCCTTTCTTTCTTAAGCCTGATTCCTTGTCTCCTCTTGGTTCCTTTACATCCCACCAGGACTCTTGCATGTGTATCTATGGCTGTCTTATCCCATAGGTACTATGTTCATGTTTCTTAGCAATACTACCTTTGGACTTGCATAAAATACAGGGGTGCCACCTAGGTGCTTGGGCCAATTTCAGGGGACACATTCCTTTGGCTCCTAGAATTCCTTGTCAGATGATGAGGGCTGAGAAACATGGTGAGGTTCCTACAAATTAAATTCATGTGCTTCGTTTTGCAAATGTTGTGCCTGCATGCTAGTTTGGTTTGTTAAAGAAAAGCTAGGAAGCAAAAGCAAAATGTGCTGATGTTTCAGAGGTTCTCAGTTGTTTTCTTGTTTGAAAGTGTTTTCTTGTCATGTTCTATTTAGAAAGTTTCAAATAGATGCGGTATTAGAATTGTTTTTCCCCCTATACATCATTTGTTCTTTTGTCTAGAATCTAATGAAGTAGTCACATTCTTTCAGAAAGACTAAAGCTACCATATGTACCTCTTAGGTAAATTTGCCTCTTGGCTGCAAAAACTGCTCATTGAAGCCCAGTTGTAGGTGAATAGAAATAGTTTGGACATTGGAGTAGTAGTGCATTCTTGTTTTGGGCCTCTTTTGGTCAGCTTTGGTTTCCAGAGTCGTCATAAAAAGGAATTGACAAGGACAGTAGTAGAATTCAGTAGTGTGGATTTCTGGCTAAGTGTAGTTCACGCCCATGTCAAGAACAAACTTCTATGAATTGCAAAATCTCACAAGTAGACTAGAAAGTGGGATGTTGAGGCTTGAATGAAAGACAGAAAAGGGCATGAAAAGAATCTCTGATCTGACCATAGGAAATAGAAAGATTTCCTTATTTCTAATATGAAGCATTGATTCAATATCATCTGTTTGTCACAACTTCAAAATTCTAGGGCTTTTGGTGAGAGAAAAAGGAGATTTGACTAGGTTTATTCTTTTTTTTTAATTTAAATTTTTTTTAAAAAAAATTTTTCAAGACAGGGTTTCTCTGTAGCTTTGGAGTCTGTCCTGGAACTAGCTCTTGTAAACCAGGCTGTCCTTGAACTCACAGAGATCCTCCTGCCTTTGCGCCCTCCCCCCCCAGTGCTGGGATTGAAGGCGCGTGCCACCACCACCATCCAGTTAGGTTTATTCTTACTCTAAAGTGTTTACTTAGTGTTATTTGCCATGTGAGAACATCTATCTAAGCCAGTGGGCTAAGATTTTATCATCAGATATAAAAGAATATTTTGTGTTATTGGAACTTGACTTGGAGTCATTATAATTTCTATTGGTAGTAAGTAGATTTTTGTTTTTTTATGGCAGATCCCAAATGTATGGAATGAGTCACGTATGTCTTACCAGTGACTTAGAATTCTTGACAAAAGCAAAATACAAAGTGAAAAATAAAACCAAACAACTTTTAAGAAAACTAAGATATATGATAGTATTATAATATCTTTTTATCCTATTTGAGTTGAGATAAAGAAGAGAAATGGTGCAGCTTCTTGCTGCTGTTGTTTCTGTCCTGGATTATACTGGTCTAAGAAGCTTTGTAATTTGCATGTGTCTTGTCGTGGGAGACACCCTTTATCCAGCTGTGGAATTTCTTTCTGGTCCAAAAGGATCTATTCCACCAATAGAGGGTACTCTGACCATTATGACAGTCTTAGCGAGTCCGTCCTCATTGTCTTTTTGAGTCAGATTTTCCTCATTCCTTATATTTATTTTTTATGGATATCCATCATTCACTTGCTGCCTCCTCCTCCATCTCTCTTTCCTTCTCCTGATAGATATTCTTTCTGATCTTCTTTCTACTGGAAAAGGCAAGTTTTCTAAGCACCCAAGTCAAGAGCTGAGTTGTGTGGCTTTAAACCTTAGTTAAGAGGGATAGTGTTGAGTAGTTCCTAAGTTTAGTATCTTTAAAATGATAGACTTGGCTATAGATAGTCTTTTGAGAGAATCAGAGACGGAATAGTTTTAGAATGGCTAGTGGTTGTCTCAGCTTCTACTCATTTCCCCTTTCTTGTTTCTTTGAGATAGGAATATCACAGTATAGCCAATCTTTAATTTCCGAGCACCAAAGGATGATTACAGCTGTTTGTTGAGGGGGCATTGCCTTGCTGATGTTTTGAAACTTGAGAATGGGTTAAGATGACCTTGAACAGCTCTCTTCATTGGAGGGAGGTTCATAAGATCATGGTGCTTTAAATATATTGCAGAAGGCAACAATTAATGGTGATGTGTCACACTTGAGTTATTCACATTCTGTTTACCAGTATCTGTGTTTCTCTGAGAATCTCATCACAAGGTCAAACTGCCGCAATTCTTTGTGGCTAATATGGTAGCTGTTCCTTAGGGACTAGGGTAGGGTGGGGTCAGGTTTGGCAGAATGTAGGCCACAGCTGCCAGCCATCACTGGATTGGAAATTGAACAGAAAATCTGTTTTAAAATATCTCAAATTTGTTTATAAGTAGAAACTATAAAACATGCTGAATGACTAAAATCCACTCCCCTCCTCCCACTTGAGGTGGGGTTGGTGAGTTTGGAATGATAGTTTTAACTAACTAAAATTTTATAGTACTCAGTTATTTGAATGTTAAATCTTATCAGTATAGAGTGTCTGTATTTAAAAAAAAAAGTGGCTTTCCAGACAGTTTTACTGTCAGCTCCTGTAGCAAAGCCAATATTTAACCCGTCTTTTATTTTCTGAAAAGGAACACATCAGTATGACTTGGAAGAATAAAGAAGAAGAGTACATGTTTGTTGATGAGACATTTTTTTTTCTTTTTTTTTATTAAGAATGAAGACACAATACTAATTAATAAAGAAAGAAGAAAAGGCAAAACCAAAAAGAGTTATTACTAACCGGTCCACAGAGAATCATGTATACCATATGGAAGGGATTAATAAAATTTCAGACATCAAGGAAATTCACTAGGACTGATACATTTCCTCTTATTCTTTTTTTTATTTATTTAAATTTATTTATTTATTAAGGATTTCTGCCTCGTCCCCACAACCGCTTCCCATTTCCCTCCCCCTCCCCCGATAAAGTCTCCCTCCCTCATCTCCTCGAGACATTTTTATCTCAGTCTCTGACCTCCTAAGGCTTACTTTTCCTTAGCTTTTGCTTGCAATCTGACTTTTCAAGAAGACTCTGGTACCCATTAAGTTTTGAAGTAGATGGCTGGCGTGAGGGGGTGGTGAGGGTTTTCACTGGACTCCACACCACTCACAATGGGGTATTTCTGGCTGTGAGACTAAGAATGCTTCATGTTCATGGTCTAGAGCAGTGCAGTGTTCTCAGCCTTCCTAATGCTGTGACCATTTAATAGAGTTCCTCATGTGGTAGTGACCCCAACCATAAAATTATTTTGCTGTTATTTCATAGCTGTAATTTTGCTACTGTTATGAATTATAATGTAAACATATATGCAGGCTATCTGATATGTGGACCTGTGGAGGTTTTGACCCACAAGCTGAGAACCACTGGTCTAGAGCTTACTGTGCTCCAAAGGCAGGAGTAAGGAGGATTAAAGATGCTTTATGAATCTCATTTTTTTTTCATTTTTTTTAGAATTTTATATATGAGTATTGTATTTAAATTTTCCTTTCCCTCTCATCCAGCTCCTTCTGAGTCTCCTCATTACTTAGCAAGTTCATAACCATATGTTTATGTGCATATATGTACATGTATATGCTCATGTACATATAAATATAACCTGCTAAGTCATTTTGGTGTTGCTTATATGTATATGTGTTTAGGATGTTGGATAACCTATTAGGAAGTTCATCGGAGGGGAAGACTGATTCTCCCTCTCCCAGAAGTCATTAATTGCTTTTAACTCTTCGCCTATGGGTGGAGTCGTGTGAGATTTCCCTCATCCACATCGGCATGTAAACTGGTGTCATCATTGTGCAGATTTTATTTATGTAGCCATATTGTTGAGATTTTATTGTGCAGCTTCCTTGTCATATATAGAGGACACTGTCTTGCAGCAGACATCCTGGCCCTTTGACTTTTACAGTCTTTCTGCTCCCTCTTTTGCCATGTTCCATGAGCCTTAGGTGCGGGACTGTGCTGTAGATGTTCTTTTGAGGTTGGACACCCCACAGTTAGTTGTTTTCTGCCCTTTGACCAATTGTGAATTTTTGTAATGGTTTCTGTGTGCTGCAAAATGAATCTTCTATGATGAGAGGTGAGAGCTATACTTATATGTGGGTAAAAGGATAAAAATTTAGAATGCGGTTAGAAAATATATTGGTTTAGGAATATAGCAGTAGTAGGCTCTATTCTAGGGTCCATGGCCTCACCAGCCATCATTAGTTGGCTAGATTTACAGTATCAGGAATAAATTCCATTCTATTGAATGGGCTTTAAGTCCAATTAGATGTGAGTACCACTTTCACACCTTTGGGGTTATCTTGCAATACTAATGAGTGTTGTGGCTCATAGGCATTATAGTTGGGCTGGAGGATCAATTTTGCTTTTATCCTTAGCACCTCTTAGTACTATGAAAGCTAGTTCTCAGGGAGGAGGCCTCCAGGCCAGATTCAAAGCTCTATTCCTCCAAGTTGTGTATCTGAAGTATGTGGTGTTTTCAGCAATAGGGATTGATGTTCAGTTTCTGGGAGGCAACTTAGGGCAACAGCAACAGCATATGTTATTTTGAGAGTCTTTTGGACTCCCCTGATCAACTTGGAAGGAAGTTTCCTGTGCCTGGCACTAGGGTTTTAAATGCCTTATAAAATCATGTTATTTTTTGTTTTCTTAAAATTATATGTAAATATAAGTGTTTATATGTGTATCTGTTAATCTCAAGATGATGCTCTTTCCTTCTCTGCTTTCTGCTAAAAAGGATAACATCATCTTTCTTGTTTTAGTAATCAAAATCTGCAGTCTTAATTTTGCTTTTGTTTGGTTTTTCAAGACAGGGTTTCTCTGTGTAATAGCCCCAGCTGTCCTGTAACTAGCTCTGTAGACTAAGCTAGCCTTGAACTTACTGAGATCTGCCTGCTTCTGCCTCCCTAGAGCTGGGATTAAAGGTGTGCACCACCACTGCCTAGCCAGTCTTAGTTTTTTTTTCTTTATGTGCTTTTCTTTGTTTTTGTCTGCCTTTAGTATATACTAAATACTCTCTAAGTATTTGGTGATTTTTAGCACTCTGCTAGTTTGTTCTTAGGTTTATATCACCATTTCTTTTTATCAGAAGAGACTTAATTCTCTTTAGATTTGCTTGAGGCTTTGAAGTAGTGTTCTTGTTAAGTTAGTAGGTAGATTTAGAGTCTAAACACTTTTAAGGAAATAAATGTTGGCTCCAGGCCTTGGTAAGTTGACTGTTCCTTTATTTCTTCTTCTAACTTAGGATGGTGATCGGGACATTTTTATTGATGGAGTTGTTGCTCGTAATAGAGCCTTAAATGGGGACCTTGTTGTTGTAAAACTGCTTCCTGAAGACCAGTGGAAGGTGAGTTTAAATTTCCTTTTCTAATTATTTTCTTCACAGGGTATTGTGCATTCCACAGTGTACTTACAGGCATTGTGTGTGTGTGTGTGTGTGTGTGTGTGTGTGTGTTTTTGGGTGACAGGCCCCTTGGACCACAAGGTAAAACTGAATGTTGCTTCTGAATCTTGGTACTGAGTGGGATTTGAAGCATATTGATCCCTCTTCAGTCCTTCTACTTTGTCAGATCCTTACATGGATTTCTGATAATCTTTTGGATAGGAAAAATGCTTATAGGGTCTTGTCAAGCTTAAAATCACTCACTACTTTCCTACAACCTTTACTGCGAGAGCTGGGACAACAGACCCATAGAGATGATGGTGTTCTTTCTTTAGAGGTTTCTCCTGTCCATACAGAAACACACAGCAATACATGTTTAGTGCTGGATTAAAGGCATATACCAACGGGCCTGGATCCAGAGGTCTGATTTTGTAAGTTCCTGTGTTGCTTGAGCTAGTTGAGTAGGAAAGAGTTTGGCGAACTAGTTAGCATCCCTGCAGTCAGTATAGTTTAGATTCATGAACTAATCTACTGTTTTTTACAGTTAGTATATAAAAGTGGAAAAAATCAAATCCTAAATCCTCCTGGCTGTTGTTTGAACATTGGACTGTAGTGGGGACATGTGGAGAGAAGTTAGCATGTGAAAGTAGAACAGATAGGAATTGAAGACAGGTTTGAGGAACAGGACAAGTTAAAGAGGGGAGCCACAAACATATGTTAAGTTTTTATTTAAGCAAAATGAGTGTGTTGTGATTAGCTGAAATGAGAAAAAACATGTTTTGCTATAGCAGTCACTAGTTTTGCCTGCTCTTATTAATATTTTTCCTTTTGGGTGTATTACTGAAAAACACTTCAATACCCTAGATGGTGTCACTTACTGGTAAACTGCATTAAACATTTAAAGAAGAAATACATAGTCCTTGTCTTACATGAGGAGTGATTCCCTTTCCCTTCATCCTATGAGGCCACCATTGTGAAATACCAGAGTGGGAAATAACATAAGAGAACACAGGTGAGCAAGTATCGAACAAAATATTAGCAGAGATTCTCTAGGAGTATGTACATAAGAATAGGACATGAATAGATGGAACTTGTTCTAGAAATGCAGAGTTGACTGAGTGTTTAAAAGCAGTCACTGTAGCTCATCGTTTAAAACTATGACCTTACATTTGAATCAAGTATCAGTCAGTAGACATAGAAAACACATTTGACAAAATTCCGCAACTATTTGTGGCACCAAGCCTACCTTCCCTACATTGTTTTGGAGATTCAAGCCCGTAGAAAAAGGAGTTAGGAAATTGTTTTATTATTTTACTAAGTGATTTTTATGTGTAGAACGTCCTAAGAGTCTATTGAAAAAGATACTAGAAGAAGTGAGTTATCAAGGTTGAAGGACAGAAAGTTTATATTAAAAAAATCATTTGTACATCTACATACTGGCAATGAAAAACAGGAAATTAAAAATTTTTTTGAAAAAGCTGTTTGCAGTAGGATAAAAATATGATATAATTAGGGATAAACTTGACCAAAAGTAGAGCAGTGTACACTAAACCTATAAAGCATTAGTGAGCAAAGTTAAGAATTCTAAATGGTAAGAAATATCATGTTTATGAAATAAAAGAGTCAATATTGTTAAGCTTCCAGTTCTACTGAAATAACTCAAGACCAGACTGATTCAGTGCCCTGCCCTCCAATGTCAGCTGTCTCTTTATAGAATTTATAGGCAGCTTTTCAGATTTGTGTGGAAGAGCAGAACATCTAGAAGAGCCAAACAAGGAACAAAATTGGAAGACACAGCATTATCTGGGTTTAAGACTTTTGTCAAAGCTCCTGTAACCAAGGCAAATGATATTAGCATTAAGGTGGACATGCAGATAAGTGGAACAAAAAAGAGAACACCTAAATAGACTCAGACATTTTTTACTGTTTCTTTATGAATTGCTAAGGTAATTCAGTGGACAAGGGATCTTTTTTCCAACAAATGTGTTGTGCTAGTTTTATAGACACATAAAAATAAATTAACTTTGCCCCTTAATATATGCAGGGATTAGAAGAGGCACAGAGGTTCCTTAGGAAGCTGAGACAGGAGTATTTCAGGTTGGAGGCTTGACAAGACTACACAGTGAGTTCAGGGCCAACCTGTCACAGGATGAGAATGGAAACACCAAGGGCTAAGGAAGGAGCTCAGCTTTAAGGAGTGTGTCGTAGTTGGCTCTAGGTTCATTCTGAACCATGACCAAAATAGGGGCCAACAAATAGAAGGAAACAGTAGTTTGAAGTGAATCAGATCTCAATGTTTGTGTAAAAACACCAATTTTCTATTAGAAAACTGAGTCAAAAGTGTTAGATTTTCAAATTTTAGGCATCAGATTTGAAGTATAACCAAAGAATTTGAAACATATAAGAAAAAAGTCAGTAAATTTGATTTAATCAAAATTATACACTTTGCTCTTCAATAAGTCACTGTTTTAAAAATAAAATCATAGGCCACAGATAAGGGGATAGATTGCAAAAAAAAATTATCTGGCCGGGTGATGGTGGCGCATGCCTTTAATCCCAGCACTTGGGAGGCAGAGGCAGGCGGATCTCTGTGAGTTCGAGACCAGCCTGGTCTACAGAGCTAGTTCCAGGACAGGCTCCAAAGCCACAGTGAAACCCTGTCTCGAAAAACAAAACAAAAACAAAAACAAAAACAAAAACAAAAAAAAATTATCTGACTATGGGATTTTATTTAGAGTTTAAAGAAATTAATTCAATAATAACCCAATTAAAAAACACACTAAAGTTTGAACAGCTTTACTAAAGATATGGCAAATATGGAAAAAGATATTCAACACTAGTCATTAAGGAAATGCATTGTAAAACCACAAGATACTACAGATCCACTAGAATTGCCAAAGTTAAAAAGATTGACCATGTGTTGGTGTTAGTATTGTGTAACTAGTACTGTTGATGTGGGGATAATGGACAGTCACTTTGGAAAGGAGTTTGGTAGTTTCTTAAAAAGTTCAGCATATGACTAATACATGACCCACCCATTCCATTCTTGGTTGTTTACCTTTGTGAAATAAAATTATTGCCACATCAAGTCTTATAAATGAATAAAGTCTTATATACAAACGTTCAGTTTTAACTTCAAAGTGGAAACAAATATGCATCAATGTATGAATGGGTAGACTGATTTGGTATGCCCATTCAGCAGTAAAAAAGAAAATGACTGACGTGTACCACAAGATAAATAGATCTCATAGTAATTATGATGAGTGAAAGAAGTTAGGCAAAAAGAATACCCTATGATTTCACTTTTATAAAAATCTAGAAATGCAAAAATAATTAATAGTGACAAAAGGTGAACAGTGGTTTTTTAGGGTGAGAGTAGAAGAGGTGCATATGTTTGTTAGTTTTTGTGGAGTTTTTTTTTTATTACATGAATATTTATCACTTTGTACTTTTAGTATATATAGTTTATTATGTGTTAGCTTTCCCTCAATAATATTGTAAAAAATACTGAAAATAAAGATGTTTGCATAAGTGTGTTTGGAGTTCCATGAAGAGTTAGAAACTAGACATGTATTTTTGGGAGTAATTAGCATACACATAATGTTTACAGCAGCATTGGTGGATGCATAATCTAGAATCACAGCTAAAGGAGCGGAGAACCCTGAATACTAAGTTCTTGTGTGAGCTGCCATTTAGAGGTTAGGAGAGGACAGTATAGAGAAGCCCATATCCCTGTCATATGGGAACAAAACTATGATGCCCAGGTTATGCCTGGTGTAGATAAGGGACTGATACAATTTGAAGATGTCGGGGACAGATGAACAGTGAAATGGAGTCAACAAACTCAAGCTCTTGTAGTCCATATGAATGTTCAAAGAAGAGGGTATGCTTTTATTGTCTTGTTTTTGGGAACTTTGTGTGTGGGGGTGTATGTAGTCCAGCTTGACTTCAGGGTTGTTATCTTCCCACCTCACCTTTTTGAGTCCTAGGATTATAGGCATGTGCTTTTGGATGTACCTTGTTTGTTTCTACTAATCTTTCCTGGCTGGCTGGCAGAATGGAACTTAGTAGAAAAAGTTAGCAAGTAAGAAGAGAGTATCAGTAGTATTTGTCCTCAGGAATATAAGGAGCAGCTGAACCCAAAGAGGGCAGAATTAGAGACATTTGATGCAAGGGCCTACCTAGTGTAAGCTGAAATATGCTTTGTGTTCTTCCACTGTGGGCAAGCAATGTATAAAAACAAGGCAGCAGCAAAACTCTGAAAATGTTCTCAATTGCCCCTCTCTGATCGCTGCCAGACCATATTGTGGAGGGAAGTATTCCAGGGACTAAATGAGCTGAGGCAGTTTACAAGTTAAAAGAATAAGAGTCCCTGAACCTTGAGTACTGGGTGCTAGCTTCATTCATTGAATTGGCATGCAGCATAGAAAATCCTCTGACTTACAAGGGCCAGAGCACCCTAGAGTCCCTGTAGCTTTGGAGGCTGCCTCTTTTGCCTGGAAAGCAGGCTATGTATCTTGTCAAGAGACAAAAAAGCCACTATCCTTTGTGGGACTGAGGAACTTTAGAAGTTAGAGGCAGCTGGGTAGGGGGAACATAAAGTCTTAGCAGCCCATTTAGCATTCAGGAGTCTGGAGAGAATATGGCACTCAGCAGATAGGCTTTCAAATTAAGCTGAAAACAATTATTTCTTGTCTTTGAGAAAGATGGATGTGAGCATGTCAGGCCTTAGCTTAGGGTGGTCTTTAGTCTGCAAATTATTTGTTTGGGGATTTTGATAAATAAAAATTCTGATTCAGTAAAGCCCAGGTGGTACCCCAAATTGTGTATTTCTAACAAGTTCCCAGACCTTATTAATTTTTTGTTTGGGGAACCATAACCTGAGTAAAAGACTTACTCACTGGACAGGAGGGAAAGTGAAAGAAGCAGATAGGGGTTATTGGTCCTTGGATCTGAACTCTGTT